GCCAATAGACCTACCTGCCAATAGACCTACCAGCCAATAGACCTACCAGCCAATAGACCTACCTGCCAATAGACCTACCTGCCAATAGACCTACCTGCCAATAGACCTACCAGCCAATAGACCTACCAGCCAATAGACCTACCTGCCAATAGACCTACCTGCCAATAGACCTACCAGCCAATAGACCTACCAGCCAATAGACCTACCTGCCAATAGACCTACCAGCCAATAGACCTACCAGCCAATAGACCTACCTGCCAATAGACCTACCAGCCAATAGACCTACCAGCCAATAGACCTACCTGCCAATAGACCTACCTGCCAATAGACCTACCAGCCAATAGACCTACCAGCCAATAGACCTACCAGCCAATAGACCTACCAGCCAATAGACCTACCAGCCAATAGACCTACCTGCCAATAGACCTACCTGCCAATAGACCTACCAGCCAATAGACCTACCAGCCAATAGACCTACCAGCCAATAGACCTACCTGCCAATAGACCTACCTGCCAATAGACCTACCTGCCAATAGACCTACCAGCCAATAGACCTACCAGCCAATAGACCTACCTGCCAATAGACCTACCAGCCAATAGACCTACCTGCCAATAGACCTACCAGCCAATAGACCTACCAGCCAATAGACCTACCAGCCAATAGACCTACCTGCCAATAGACCTACCTGCCAATAGACCTACCAGCCAATAGACCTACCAGCCAATAGACCTACCAGCCAATAGACCTACCTGCCAATAGACCTACCTGCCAATAGACCTACCTGCCAATAGACCTACCAGCCAATAGACCTACCAGCCAATAGACCTACCTGCCAATAGACCTACCTGCCAATAGACCTACCAGCCAATAGACCTACCAGCCAATAGACCTACCTGCCAATAGACCTACCTGCCAATAGACCTACCAGCCAATAGACCTACCAGCCAATAGACCTACCAGCCAATAGACCTACCTGCCAATAGACCTACCAGCCAATAGACCTACCAGCCAATAGACCTACCAGCCAATAGACCTACCTGCCAATAGACCTACCTGCCAATAGACCTACCAGCCAATAGACCTACCAGCCAATAGACCTACCAGCCAATAGACCTACCTGCCAATAGACCTACCTGCCAATAGACCTACCTGCCAATAGACCTACCAGCCAATAGACCTACCAGCCAATAGACCTACCTGCCAATAGACCTACCTGCCAATAGACCTACCAGCCAATAGACCTACCAGCCAATAGACCTACCTGCCAATAGACCTACCTGCCAATAGACCTACCTGCCAATAGACCTACCTGCCAATAGACCTACCTGCCAATAGACCTACCAGCCAATAGACCTACCAGCCAATAGACCTACCAGCCAATAGACCTACCTGCCAATAGACCTACCTGCCAATAGACCTACCAGCCAATAGACCTACCAGCCAATAGACCTACCAGCCAATAGACCTACCAGCCAATAGACCTACCAGCCAATAGACCTACCTGCCAATAGACCTACCTGCCAATAGACCTACCAGCCAATAGACCTACCAGCCAATAGACCTACCAGCCAATAGACCTACCTGCCAATAGACCTACCTGCCAATAGACCTACCTGCCAATAGACCTACCAGCCAATAGACCTACCAGCCAATAGACCTACCTGCCAATAGACCTACCTGCCAATAGACCTACCAGCCAATAGACCTACCAGCCAATAGACCTACCTGCCAATAGACCTACCTGCCAATAGACCTACCAGCCAATAGACCTACCAGCCAATAGACCTACCTGCCAATAGACCTACCTGCCAATAGACCTACCAGCCAATAGACCTACCAGCCAATAGACCTACCAGCCAATAGACCTACCTGCCAATAGACCTACCTGCCAATAGACCTACCAGCCAATAGACCTACCAGCCAATAGACCTACCAGCCAATAGACCTACCTGCCAATAGACCTACCTGCCAATAGACCTACCTGCCAATAGACCTACCAGCCAATAGACCTACCAGCCAATAGACCTACCTGCCAATAGACCTACCTGCCAATAGACCTACCAGCCAATAGACCTACCAGCCAATAGACCTACCTGCCAATAGACCTACCTGCCAATAGACCTACCTGCCAATAGACCTACCAGCCAATAGACCTACCTGCCAATAGACCTACCAGCCAATAGACCTACCAGCCAATAGACCTACCAGCCAATAGACCTACCAGCCAATAGACCTACCTGCCAATAGACCTACCTGCCAATAGACCTACCAGCCAATAGACCTACCAGCCAATAGACCTACCAGCCAATAGACCTACCAGCCAATAGACCTACCAGCCAATAGACCTACCAGCCAATAGACCTACCTGCCAATAGACCTACCAGCCAATAGACCTACCAGCCAATAGACCTACCAGCCAATAGACCTACCAGCCAATAGACCTACCAGCCAATAGACCTACCAGCCAATAGACCTACCTGCCAATAGACCTACCTGCCAATAGACCTACCTGCCAATAGACCTACCTGCCAATAGACCTACCTGCCAATAGACCTACCTGCCAATAGACCTACCTGCCAATAGACCTACCAGCCAATAGACCTACCAGCCAATAGACCTACCAGCCAATAGACCTACCTGCCAATAGACCTACCAGCCAATAGACCTACCAGCCAATAGACCTACCAGCCAATAGACCTACCTGCCAATAGACCTACCAGCCAATAGACCTACCAGCCAATAGACCTACCTGCCAATAGACCTACCAGCCAATAGACCTACCAGCCAATAGACCTACCTGCCAATAGACCTACCTGCCAATAGACCTACCAGCCAATAGACCTACCAGCCAATAGACCTACCAGCCAATAGACCTACCAGCCAATAGACCTACCAGCCAATAGACCTACCTGCCAATAGACCTACCTGCCAATAGACCTACCAGCCAATAGACCTACCAGCCAATAGACCTACCAGCCAATAGACCTACCTGCCAATAGACCTACCTGCCAATAGACCTACCTGCCAATAGACCTACCAGCCAATAGACCTACCAGCCAATAGACCTACCTGCCAATAGACCTACCTGCCAATAGACCTACCAGCCAATAGACCTACCAGCCAATAGACCTACCTGCCAATAGACCTACCTGCCAATAGACCTACCAGCCAATAGACCTACCTGCCAATAGACCTACCAGCCAATAGACCTACCTGCCAATAGACCTACCAGCCAATAGACCTACCAGCCAATAGACCTACCAGCCAATAGACCTACCTGCCAATAGACCTACCAGCCAATAGACCTACCAGCCAATAGACCTACCTGCCAATAGACCTACCAGCCAATAGACCTACCAGCCAATAGACCTACCTGCCAATAGACCTACCTGCCAATAGACCTACCAGCCAATAGACCTACCTGCCAATAGACCTACCAGCCAATAGACCTACCAGCCAATAGACCTACCTGCCAATAGACCTACCAGCCAATAGACCTACCAGCCAATAGACCTACCAGCCAATAGACCTACCTGCCAATAGACCTACCTGCCAATAGACCTACCAGCCAATAGACCTACCAGCCAATAGACCTACCAGCCAATAGACCTACCTGCCAATAGACCTACCTGCCAATAGACCTACCTGCCAATAGACCTACCAGCCAATAGACCTACCAGCCAATAGACCTACCTGCCAATAGACCTACCTGCCAATAGACCTACCAGCCAATAGACCTACCAGCCAATAGACCTACCTGCCAATAGACCTACCTGCCAATAGACCTACCAGCCAATAGACCTACCTGCCAATAGACCTACCAGCCAATAGACCTACCTGCCAATAGACCTACCAGCCAATAGACCTACCAGCCAATAGACCTACCAGCCAATAGACCTACCAGCCAATAGACCTACCTGCCAATAGACCTACCTGCCAATAGACCTACCAGCCAATAGACCTACCAGCCAATAGACCTACCTGCCAATAGACCTACCTGCCAATAGACCTACCAGCCAATAGACCTACCAGCCAATAGACCTACCTGCCAATAGACCTACCAGCCAATAGACCTACCAGCCAATAGACCTACCTGCCAATAGACCTACCAGCCAATAGACCTACCAGCCAATAGACCTACCTGCCAATAGACCTACCTGCCAATAGACCTACCAGCCAATAGACCTACCTGCCAATAGACCTACCAGCCAATAGACCTACCTGCCAATAGACCTACCAGCCAATAGACCTACCAGCCAATAGACCTACCAGCCAATAGACCTACCAGCCAATAGACCTACCTGCCAATAGACCTACCTGCCAATAGACCTACCAGCCAATAGACCTACCAGCCAATAGACCTACCTGCCAATAGACCTACCTGCCAATAGACCTACCAGCCAATAGACCTACCAGCCAATAGACCTACCTGCCAATAGACCTACCAGCCAATAGACCTACCAGCCAATAGACCTACCTGCCAATAGACCTACCAGCCAATAGACCTACCAGCCAATAGACCTACCTGCCAATAGACCTACCTGCCAATAGACCTACCAGCCAATAGACCTACCAGCCAATAGACCTACCAGCCAATAGACCTACCAGCCAATAGACCTACCTGCCAATAGACCTACCTGCCAATAGACCTACCAGCCAATAGACCTACCAGCCAATAGACCTACCTGCCAATAGACCTACCTGCCAATAGACCTACCAGCCAATAGACCTACCAGCCAATAGACCTACCTGCCAATAGACCTACCAGCCAATAGACCTACCAGCCAATAGACCTACCTGCCAATAGACCTACCAGCCAATAGACCTACCAGCCAATAGACCTACCTGCCAATAGACCTACCTGCCAATAGACCTACCAGCCAATAGACCTACCTGCCAAGCTCATGCGCACCGCGCGCTCATACGCTTTGCTCTCTAACCATCCTTCAACCTCTCTCTGATCACCATTCACTGCCCACCACCCATCATGCCATGACAGAGAATATTCCATCGAGCGCATCCCAGGGGGCTACAGGCGCCTGCTGCAGCGCCCCTCCGACTACAACTGGTGAGGCAAATCCCCTACCAATCACTCTCTGCCTCACCCTCTCATGCACCCTCTCACTCACCCTCTTACTTGCTGCAGCGCCCCTTCGACTACAACTGGTGAGGCAAATCCCCCTATCACCCTCTCACTCCCCCTGGGAGGCACCCTGTGAGGGACCTTGGGGGGCAGCCTGTGAAGCACCTTGGGAACTGTTAACTCGCATTGCTCCTTGCATAAGCCTGATCTCAACCATGTTCCTCAGCCGTTTCCCTCACCACACCTCCTACCACACCACACCCCCTCCCGCTCCCACTACCTTAACCCTTTCCCTCCCACTCTGTCTCCCCTGCGCTCGCACTTATTCTCACCCTTATTCTCTTCCCCATTTCATTCCCCCAACACCCATCACAGGAAAGTCCTGGCGTACTGCCGTCCAACACAAATGCTGGCAGAGACCCTTGAATTCACTGAAGCAGCTTCATCTCTCCCCCTCCCCCCACCCACACCCATCACAAGAAAGTGCTGGCGTACTGGCGTCCCTCACAAGTGTTGGCCGAGACTGATTTGGACCGCATTGCTTCTGCTGCCCCTGCATGGCAGAGACCTTTGAGTCCACTGACGCAGCTTCACCCCACCCCCCTCCCCTTCAACCCGTCACAGGAAAGTCCTGGCGTACTGGCGTCCAACGCAGGTGCTGGCAGAGACTGATTTGGACCGCATCGCTGCTGCTGCCCTCGCAACTCCTGCTCCCACTCCCGCTACCTCTGCCGCTGCTCCTGCCTCTGCCACCCCACCTGCTGCCCCATCTGTGGGTCCAGCAGCAGACTCGAGCTCAGCAGCAGCAGCAGCTGCTGCTGCTGCCACTGATGCCTCTGCTGCTACTGCTACTGCCAGTGGTGATGCTGCTGCAACTTCTGGTGGTGACGCCCCTGCAGTTGTAGAGGCAGCGCACGTGTATTATGGGTTCAAGCAGCCAGGGTACAAGGGGGCGCTCAAACAGGCACAGAAGGGGGAAGAAAAGGCAGGGGTTACTGCTGGCGCTGCTGCACTCAGTGGGGTAGAGGCAGGGGCAGGAGAAGCAGGGGCAGGAGGGGAAGCGGCAGGGGCAGTGCCAGCAGTGGTGGTGTTGGCGTCGTCAGATGGAGTGAGGCTGGGCAGAGACGAGCTGGCGCGCCTGGGGATCGGGGAGGGGCCTATTGGAGGTCTGGTTGAGGGGGTTGATGATGGGGAGGAGGGTGAGGGTCGCAGGGGCGAAGCTGAGGCAGGTGCGGTGACAGAGGAGGGAGAGAAATCGGAAGGGATGGTTAAGCGTGAGACGGAGAAAGGGAGAGAGGAGGGTGGTGATGAGAAGGAGAAGGTAAAGCAGGGGGAACAGGGCGCTGCAGCAGGTAGCGAGGAAGGGAAGGAGCAAGCGGCAGGGAGGACGGGAGAGCGAGGGGCAAAGGGAGCAGCACAGGAGGGAGTGAGGGTGGCGCTGCAAGTGGAATTCACTCTGCCGGCGTCAGGATATGCCACCATGGCCATCCGCGAGCTGCTTAAAGCCTCCACTGCTGTGAGTGCAAGCAAGCATCCACATCTGATGTTGCACAGCGAGCATAATGCCATGATCCCTGATAGTCTGGTGGCCCTGCCAACGAATGCCGTCTGAATAGCCACAATTGTCATCCGAACAACCCTCCCATGCCATGCGAAGCATCTGTGAGCCTGGCTGGGAGTCTGAGACTCTGCGTTTCTTTCTTCCTGTCGCTGCTCTTGTGCTTGGTTGCAGGCTGGCGTTCACAAGGGTTTCAACGACAGGGAGGACGGCCGGGGTTGATATCTCAAGTGCAATCCTGACGACAATGTGTTGTTGCAACACAGCTGTGATTTGTCTTTCTCACTTCATCTATCCGTCTTACTACAGCCGAATCATCATGTATGTACTAGTTTTGCCAGTCTGACCGTGGCATGGGACTCTCTTGTAAGAGTATTTTAAGGATGCAGGGTGCACATTGCAGTGAGTGGGTGTTATGCATGCAGTTCCGCTAGAAAACTGTGCGCTAGAAATTTGTGATTTCAGAGTGTACCACTGCGTTGTGGCTGACATTTTTCTAATCTAGTGTGGTTTCCCTGGGAAGTCTGAGCATGCCTCGTAACCAACATCGCTATTAAAGAATGCAGCAGTACGGACAATATATTGTGTCTATAGGGATAGCGTATGAGTATTTGCACGTTTGAATTATTTCTATTCAAACATGAGGGGTATTGTTCATTCCATCACGTGTGATGATAATGGTGTGATGGACGGGTACTCGGTGTTTGAAATATTAAAACGAGGATGAACTCGGCGTCGCGCCTGGTTAGTGGACTTGACAATCGGCTCAAATTTGAATCCGTGGTCTGACACATGGATTGTCGCCGGGTCACGACTCGCGACATCCACATCATGCCAAAGCCGAATCATTCAGATCATCTCAGCCGTCAGATCATCCGACTTGAAAACGAAAGCATCCCGTCAACACAGTGTAACAGATCGTTCTCACTCATACTTTCGCACACGGCGGCTCTTGCCCGCGCACAGGCCATCTGGTCGCCAATGGTGTCGCTGGCTGCCACCCACCACTTTCCGCCGTTCCCGCCTTCAGCGCACATCGTTGGCGGACGTTCTGCGATTACAGCGCGCAACTCGTCAGCGGACTTTACAGCGACTTCCCCGCCTCGGGCTTGCCGTGGCGGGGGAACCCTGCGTTCGGGAAACTCTGCCCCTTTGGGTGGAGGGGAGCACTTCGCATGGCGACTCGACTTGAGGCTGCTTGCCGCTCAGTTGCTTCCCCCTCACCTTTTCTCTTACCGTCACCCCAACTCACTTCCCGCCACCTTCTTTCACCTTTCTTAAGCACTTTTCACCGTTTTCAACCGATTTGTCACCCGCTTTAAGCCTGCATCATCGTACTGAAACTTGTTTTCCCCAAATCTTCGTCAACTTGTTTTCTCAGGCATTCCCTATGCAGGCTTTGTCCCAGGAACGAATCTCGTCACATTCTCTAACTCGATTCATCCGTAGCCATGGCTTCCTTAGATTATTGTACCGTGGAGGTAATTCTCGTGACGTGGCCTCTCCCCGAAGCGCGTTAAGCTTAATATACTTACGGAGGATGGTAGCAGGATCTTACAGCCTAGTGAGAAAGATCAGTTTCATCATCGCTAGTATGACTCATCCATCAGTTTCATAATCAGTCAGTTCCGTGCTCGACGAGACGTGATGCTACAGTTATCCCGGAGGTTAAGCATTTCTACGACGATTGATCGTGAAGTTTTAAGCCATCATGGCAGCGCTACTACTAGTATCAGTGCGACACTTCAGGCTCGTTAGAAAGCTTAGTATCACAATCCGTTTCATCCTGACTGGACGACCGTCAGGTTCTGGCGGAATGGCTTATCTGTTTCATGTTCACTCGTTTCGTCAGATCCTTAGTACAGCATTTCAATCGATTTGTTTTCATTGGCATGATCGCGAGTCGCGACGTGGAGCTCAGACAACCACAAGTTGCAGCAACCGCAACGATAATTGCGACCTTTAGTATTAGGGACGTGCGTCAACGCTTTCCTTTAAGACTAATCGCCTTGTGCGACGTTACAAGGAGGAGCTTGCATCGCTTACGAGTTTACTTATACGGAGGATCTTCTCTCGACCTCAGAGTTTGACGACGCGACGTTGTCGCTGAGGATATTCTTCCTGACGTTACTGCTGAGGTCGTTTATAAATCTACTGAGGAGCTCCTGAAGCCGACGATATTGCTGAGGATGTTCTTCACGACGTTACTGCTTCACGACGTTACTGCTTCGCGACGTTACTGCTGAGCGTATTCTCCTTCGCGGCGTTACTGCAGAGAATATTCTTCCCGACGTTATTGCTGAGCGTATTCTTCGCGACGTTACTGCTCAGGATGTTCGCAAAGCCAAGGCCAGTACCGACGACGGCGCTTGCGATGGAGACGCGTGGACGTCAGACTCTGACGACGGCGGAAGAGCTCACGACGATGATCGACGGACGAAGAGCTCGCGACGATGATTGACGGCGGAAGAGCTCGCGACGAAGAGCAGCTCGCGAAGCATCGCGACGAAGGAACTCGCCGTCAATGAATGCGTGAGTTAGCGTTCTCAGTTTCTGCAGTTGCTTCTCATGACGGATTTGTGGCTGGTCTACTCGTTTCGTATCATAACTGGTCTACTCGTTTCGTATCGCGGCTGGTCTACTCGTTTTCCCGTTTTCTTATCATGGCGTATCTCCGAGATACACGCAAGGAGTCGCACTCGCGTTCTTTCGATCTACACGCTCGTTCCTTTCATCGCACGAAGAAATGTGGCTTCCAGCAATTTGCTGGAAGCCTTCCTAGTGACTCCCGATTTCGGGAGTCCTGTCAATCGGCTTTCAATACGGGGGGGTAATTGTGGGGCAACAGAACCACCCTGCAGTCAACCTGATGTCACCCGAAACCAACCTGCGAGGCGATTGAAATGTGTAAGTTGCGCATCGCATGTCAGTTGGGCGAGTAATCGAATTTGTTACCTTCGGAAACGAAAAGAAGGCCCTCGCACACGCGAGAATTGAAGATTTTGGTTGTAACCACTCGCGTAACAAATTTGTTAAAGTTGGTTACCACGTGATATCAAAATGCTTCTGCATAAAATCGAAAAAAGGATTTGTTAAGAGATATTTGTTCGAATTGAAGATGTGACAATACGACAATTAAAAATGATAACTACACTGTTATCGTAAAATGAGATTTGATCGCACAGAACAGTAAAATGGCATTACGGTCATTAAACCAAAACAGATACGAGAATATATTAATCGGTCGTTACGAACAATACTAAACGATTAGAAATTAGCCAACATTAAAATATCAGAAGCTACATTAAATCTACAAATGCACTACACCTAAACTAATCTACTAAATATCATCTACAATCTGCCAATCCTTCACAATGACATCTCCAAAATAGTAGAACCCACTGACAAGTGGAATGCTTGCGCGACGGACCCAGCGCTCAACCTGGAACTTCCTCTTGGTCATTTCACGGGTGTTGTTCTCGGAGTCAGAAAACATGCTGCTTCGATCACGAGATAACATCTCAAACTCCACCTGCCAAGAAAGAGCAAATGAAATTAAACGGCTGATAACGGCAAGATAAAGCATTCTAGAAACAGGATCGCTCACCGCGACCATGGTGTAGCACAGCTGGTCAATGCTCAGGGTGTAGACATCCCCCTCTTTCTTCTGCCACTTGCTTGCAGCAGCTAAGAAGGCCTCGCTGCAGAACGGCTTGTCCTCAAAAACATGCCACGGCAGGCCAAACTCCTATGGAAAAAAAAAAAAAAACATGTCAGAAACAGATCATAACTACAGCAACAGCAACAAAAAACGTAATCGCGCCGATCCTCAACGGAGTCCTTAACGGCTTTGTTGTCGGGGTACTTCAACTGCTTGAAACTCGCCTTCCGGGACTTGTTCCCGAGTTTCCCCCGCCGGCCGTTGCAAATGTCGGTGCACTTCTTCGCCCACTCGCCCTTCTTCCAGTAATCGTTAAATTTCCCGAAGTCTTCGGGATCCAGAGCGAGGTGCACCACGACGGCCGCCCTGAACTGGTCTTCGTCAGGGTAAATGACTCGCTGGGAGACATCTGATCCCTTGAGCAAATCATCGCACGCCTTCTTACAGGCATCCTGCTAAAAGAACGAGGAGAAATTAGAACATGATTCACACACCACACTGAACAACAAGTAGATAACAGATACTTACTTCCATGGTTTTCTCGTTGCACCAGCTCGGTTGGTGCACAATCTCGAGAAGATTCTTCACAGTAGCAGCCAGAGTCTGATGAATCTCATCAGATACACGAAGCCGGTTTTCAATTCGCAGCATCAGAGTGCGAACGTCTTGCAGATCGCCGCGTATAGCAGCGTCGATGTGGTTGTACGAGTTGGCCTCTGGGTGATGAACATCACGATCTGACGAGCGCAACGCTGAAAACACGAGATTGAATTAAACGAGCACAGCGTTATGGCACTTGAATGTTTAAAATATGGTCAGATGAACGTTGGAAAAAGCACTGAGACAAACAACATAATGATACGTAAAACGTACCGCCAGTTCCAGCAGACGCGACGACATTTGCGGCTGCACCACGTTGCGCTACCGGTGCAGTAGCGTTCGAAGCGTCGTGGGGAGAGGCAACTCCATTCTCCGCGGTGTGCTCGGCATCAAGTGCCTCAAGGTCTTGCAGAGGCGGGGGTTGCGCAGGCAGAGCGCTCGGGGTACCCACCTGCTGGGCAGGAGTAGAAGTTCTCCGAGTCCCTGTGGTTGGGCTACCAAGCTCGTAGCCTTCGAGACGCCTATTAGAGGTTCGGGATCTCTTACGCTGCAACTCCATTATTTCTGCTGGCACGCCTATCGCCATGTTTCCTAAATTGCCCACTAACAGGCATAGGGCACGTAGTTGAAAAAGAGGCAAAAAAATAGTGAGACTTGGTGGAAGTTGGAGCACGGGAACAAGCTCGGCTGGTTGGAAACGAGGAGAAGCTGCTCCTGTAGGACATGAGATGAGTAGCACAGGTGGTAGGAATTGACAACTAATAGGAATGTTTCCATGGGTAGTGTTGACAGCGTGATGGTTCACCCCGAGCTATTTCAAAACCAAATAATTACACCAATCCTGCAGTTGCGATGGGAATGGACCACAACGTTAAACGCTAGTGCGCGAGATGATAACATCACTTAGCTTTGTAGCGAGAAGTTTAGATAAGTACTGAACAGCATTACACAGAACATGCGAATTGAAATCAACAATAAGTGCTTTGCTTCGGTTTTCGAAACGATTTTGGCCTTGAAATACGCCAAAACACTGCACACATCGGTGCTGTATCTGGCAAGGAATGGTCCCAAAACACATATGTGCCAAACAACGCGACAACTGCGCCGCACAACACCGAACATATTCAGCGAACAAGGACAGTGCAACAGGTTTCGTGACGCGTATCTTGCCACGCGTGAAGCGAGGCATGGAAGTCCAACGAATGAGAGGTTTCGTGCCAGCGAAGCTGGCAACATTGACGACGTCACTGGAAGGCTGACAGCTGCCGGTGACGTCATCCGAAGGTGTCACGAAGGACCCTTTTCAACTGTGCATCGAACCCTGCCACAGCCTAACAATGGCACGATGGACACAGCACAGCTGGCAGACTACTGTGCGCTAGCCAACGCGGCAGGAAAGGCAACCACGCTGCGCGGCAGCATGCCAGCAAGCAAAAGTGTCATGATTACTAGCGTGGCGCAATATCGCCAACAACGCACGGGTGAAGTGTCACACTTCCATCGGGAACAAGGAATTATAGGGGAGAAATCGCGGGTTCGTTTCAACAAGTGATGCTTACAATATTCGAAATACAGTACTGCTTGTGTTATGTCAATCGTGTTTTAATAAAATTTAAACTTGTTCATCACAAAGAGCCCCTCACTAACGGAAACCATATGAGCTACGCGCAGAATGTTATCAAGCTCAAGCAGTTGGTACTCGTTATCACCTGCCTCCCAAGCATACACCGGGCATTTTGATGCGTGCATCGCACCAGTGGCTCTGAAATAGCGGACAAATGCGTATGCGCGCTTGGAAAACGCCTTTGTCTCTGTCGCGTATACGTCGATGGTAAACAACAGCAGCAGCCTTGCATACCATATCACCTTGCGCCTTGTCGTCTGGCCTCCTACAGCCTCAATCTCCTCTTCACCAAGCACTGCTACATCGTTGAACCATGGTTTGTCGCCGAAAGACGCGCACGCTCGCACATAATGTGTCTGGCTGGAGTACTTGGTGAAATCCTCGTCGCCAGGGATAGCCATGCCGTTCTTCACGCGTATGGTACCATTTAGTACCTCGCCTTCCTCGGCCTTGCCTTCCAACAGCCCCGCGAGCTTGGTCATGTCACTCGGCGCGGCCAGCGCATGCGCTTTCCACTTGTCACACCCATCCTCAATGCTTTCCTTCCAGCTTACACTGAAGCTGGTGGCTGCAAGAGTGTTGCTACCGCATGTCCATTAAGGCATGGGTGTAAAAAAAAGGCTCGTTGTTAATGCGAGGTCGAATACAGGCACCCAAAAACGTTTCAACTTGACTTGAAGCTCCAAGCTCACAAGACATAATCCCAGTTACGCGCACTTGCTCACGCATGCACAAACCCTCACACACAAACACACACACACATAGACACACACACACACACACGCATATAGACACACACATACGCACATAGAGACAGACACACACACATACACACACACACATACACACACACACACACATACACGCATGCGCACACACACACGCTCACACACACACACACGCGCATGCCTACACACACAGTTACATACACACGCTTGCACACACACATATACACACAAACACATACACATACACATATACACCCACACACACATATACACGCATGCGAACACACACACTCTCACATAGACACACACACACACACCCACACACACACACACACACACACATACAAGCGCGTACCTCCTGTAGTGCAACCATTCGCTTTGGTCCATCCTTGCTCGGTGCCTCCGATGCTTGGAGCACGCGTAGCATGTGCATTCGCACATCGTGCTTCACAATTTGAGGGATAGGATCCCTCTTGTTGCTTGCACGGTACGCTCGCTTCACGAGAGGTTGATGGAGATACTCGTACATGTTGGCGCTGTAATGCATCGGCACCCCCGATCGAATGATGTCCTCCACCACGTGTGCCAATGAATGCACTTTGGTGATGTCGAACTCCGACTTTTGAAGGCCTGCAAAGACTTCCTTCAAGAGCGGAATCAACCTGGTGGAGGGTATGGCACACATGGAGAACATTGAAGAGACAAAACTCAATGGGCGCAAAACAAATAGTAACACAAAACGTCGCAACACATTGGCAAGCATGGAAGGCAAGGAATGAGAGACATCGAACTAAAAAGAGAATAAAACGGATGAAAAAAACAACACAATCAACCATGCACAGTTGAGAAAGAAGCCTACCTCTTGATGGCCTCATCAAGCTCTTGTAGAGTCTTCGAGGTATGATACCAACCGGACTGCGAGCATGTAGCAATCCACGAATGCCGCCACCGCACCAACCACCGAGTTCGGCACGCCGCAATTTGCAAGCACGATCGTGATCACTTGCATCACCGCGCGATGCTCAAACGCTTGAAACCGTGCAGCACCCGCAAAGTAACCACCCTTCTCGGAAGATGGGACGGAAACCCGAGATTCGGGTGTCGGTCGCAATGCGCTGCAACTCGGTGTCGAGGGAACGAAGAAAGTCGCGATCTCGTGCGTAATACGCCCGAATGCAGGAAACGATGTGCAAGAAGACACCAAGGTCCATCGCGTGCATCACCTCGACAAGTAAGGCTCGATATGGATTGCCGACAGGGGTACGTCCCCCTCTGAAGCCCCACAAGGCTACCTGCGCATGGGTGAGTGGGAGAAGTATAGTTAGCACACATGAAATAGAACCCACACAACTATGACAAAGTATGACAGGCTCGCAAATTCATAGTAGAAGGTATGCGGGTTGAACGTATGCGCGTACACACACAACAACAGATGCTATAAGGTATGGACGCACTCGCAGACCATACGTACCTTGATGGGATGAGTGCTGATTGCTTTTGATGCCTTGTTGCGCTCGGACCCACTCGGCAACGCCAACAACGCTTCGACTTTCTCGCTCTGGTCATCTTCCTTGCGAAATCGGACCACCGCCTCCATGTTGCTTATGTCTTCACGGTTCACGAGACACCTGTGGCATGGGAACATCGCCTTGTGACTTGCAAACGTCCCCGCCAGCTTGCAAGCTTCCGGATGATCGGCCACATATGCGTAGACAGCGGGAAACACCATTTGCGACTGCCCAAAAGGGTCTTTCGTTAGAATGCCACTGCGCAGGTCATAAACAGTGTTGAACATGGGAAAGATACAACGAGAAAAGGAGGGGATATGGATGTGCATTTGAGGTGAGAAAGCAAAACATCATCGAAGCGATAAAACATACTTGCTACGCACACACAAGCATCTAGTAGAATGAAAAGCACACACCCGCACACACAAGCATCCCGTAAAATGAAACACACACACCCGCACACAATAGACACTCACCCGTAAGATGCCTCCTTGAGTTCTTTGAGAACCACATCCAACGCCAGTTGGAATACCTCCCGATGAAGTGCCTTCCCCTCGTCCGTCCTCGAGTCCACGTTCGGAAGCGGCGGAAGCATAGCAACCATCCGATGCCCGTGTGGCTGCCAACGATTCTTGAGCGTGACGTTTCCGAGGGTGAAATAGACCGGATGTCCCGTAACACGCCCATCGTTGCTCAAGTTTGTGCCGTCGCTGTACAGGATGCACGCTGCAATTACACCACCCCTCGGGCACTCTTCTTGCATCTTGATCCATCCATCTCCCGTCTCGGGCCCCGCGTATATCCGCTGCTTCTTGTCGGACGTGTAGACTGCAGCCGGTTTCACCACAAAGCCGTCTATGTTCGCGCTGTCCGAATACATCGCCACCAATGCTTCTACTATGGAGGTTACGTGCACAGTAACTTTCATGCCGTTGCTCAACTCCACCTCAACAACTCTCCATTCCACCGTGCCCGTAGCCTCCGCCAGAAACGACTTTTCGTACTTCGCCAAGCCAGCACTGTTCTTGTATGACGGCTTCATGTAACCGGCCTCGTGCAAGACGCTCAGTAGAGTGTTAATGTCAGTTGCCGACATCCCCATGCCTCCATTAAAACCCCGAATCGCCTTCGCCAAAGCCAGGTCTGTGTCAAATGGAAGTTTCTGTGGACTAGGATCTGCCGTTGCATCCGTGGTCGAGAATTCGATGTCATCACCGTCGCCGTCGCTGTCATCCGACGTCGGAAAGTCAAACGGGGGAGGGTTCACACTGGCTTGTGCAGATGGTGCTCCGCTAGTGGTCAAAGGCGGACTTGCGGCGGCACGTGGAGCAACTCGTGCACGCAGCAGCCGGTTCACGTCATTAGCTCGCTTGCGTTTCAAACCCTCTAGAATCCGTACATTTGCACTCTCTGACGCAGTTAAGCGCTTCGTACAAAACGCTTTGTGATTAATCAATCCCTGTCCAGTAGTGCAGACGAATCCACAGCCACATGTAAACTCCATTATCAGTAGATAGGATACAAGGATCCCTAGCACCCTGTGGTGCTATCTAGGAGAAGAAAAATAGTGTTCTAAGCTTAATGGTGAACAATAACAAGCATGGTCTAAAATATATGCAAGATCTTTATCAACATCCCCTGGACCTGCATGCAAAGACCACAGCGCACAAACGGTCATGGCCCTCAGTTGCAATAGGGGGCAAACTGGCGCTGGAAAACGAAAATGGCAAAATAAATAAAAAAAAAACACTAAAAACGGTACTGACCCCAATAATCCCTCAAGCCGCGGCATTTTCGCGCATTCTGCCACGCCTCGGCACGCGGCGCATCCGATGGTGCGGCGACGAAGTCGCTATTTCTGTCGGGGCGACCTTAACACTAAAGTACATAAAAAAAAATGAGCTCGAGTCGCGCCCTACGATCTACCCTAATCTGGACGAGCACCCGTCTTACATGCGGGACGAGGCCGCGTATGCATGGCGAGGCGTCGTTTCATAAAAAAAAAAACCGCCGAACTCGGGTAAACCGGGCGGTTCCAGCGAGTTAGCGGGTTCTAGGGAGGCGCCATGGCGGGCTCCTTATAAACTAGCTCTACGGGAACAATGTGCACTTCGAGTGAGGAGGGAAATGGAGGGGTTGGAGGGGAACGGCTGCATGATGCGGGCACCAGCCAAAATAGCGCAAAAACGTTCTCAACTGCGTCCCACACCCTACGCCCCTAACTGCCACGGCGACAAAGCAAAAAGTTACGTGCCGTGTTCGCACGTAACTGGGAGTGCGACTCCGTCAACATTCTGGACCAGTATAACTTTTCGCGCGCTGGAAATGAGCCGTCCGAACGGCTCATTTACCTGGTTACCGCTACGGTCAGTCGCCAACGGTAAGTGTTCTGGTAACCGGAGGCGTACGCGTCTACATTTTCGTATGGTAATGAGACAATGTGATTCCATAAAACCTTCAAAAAAATTCGCATACATAGACTTGTTCATTTTCAGACTTCACTATTTTTTTGACAATTATTAAACTATGTATATTAACGAAATCAATTTAAACACGCCACTCATGTAAGTGGTTAAAATAAAGTTAAAGACAACAACTAATGCTTTAGTAATGTAATGTAAAACAAACACCATAGTGTACAGAACAAGAAATATTATTTCAGCGCGGAGTTCTAAAAACCACCGCACCGAATACCACCGAGCGGTGTCCATCGACCGAACGGGTTGAGTTTTGCACCGACTGCCCGCTAACTGCTCCGTGACTGCACAAATCGAAATTAGGGTAACTGCGGGAGATCGCAGGCAGTTCGGAAACGGAGGGCAATTAGAGAAAAACACCGCAAGCAAACTGCAGGGATGCGATATCGCCAAGCTTACCGCCGGCTGTTTCCCCGCGAACACCAGCAAAGTTGCGATGTTCGCAGTCAAGCTGCAGTTGGTTTCTGTCCCAGTCTAATCGTTTCGTTTCGTTTCGCTCGTTCCTTTCTTTCGTCTTCCTTTCTCCGTGCGTGCAGGAGAGTGTCCGGCGTGGAGCGTCCTGGGAGCATCTCCTTAGATTTCCTATCGCTGGAAACGTGGGGAACGAAGGAGTTTGTTGACGCCTGGCTGGTGTAAACGTCTCCGTTTGTGGTGAGTTACTGGTGTCCGTCTAGATTCTGTCAATCTGGACGCTTTTCCAATTTTCTGTCTCGATTCTGTTCCATCTGAACACTTGCTATCAAATTTATGTCTCCAGTCCGCAATCACTTTCAGTCCATCTCATCTCATCTCGCTGGTGCAACTCATCTCATTCCTACTTCTCCGTCCGTGCAGGAGTGGCAGAGGCTCATGCACACATTGCGGAAAAGCGATACATCAGGGGGGAGGCGCGGATGCATCAGGGGGGAGGCGCGGATGCAACAGGGGGGAGGCGCGGATGCATCAGGGGAGAGGCGCGGATGCTGCTGATTGGCGTTGGAGCATGGCGGAGCATGGAGCACGGATGTTGACTGCAGCTCCAACGGCAATCAGGAACCCGCTAAGTTCCCTCGCCCTCACCCTCTGTTTTTTTTCGATTTCCATGCTCCTCGTCCTCCTCCTCCTCCTCCTCCTCCTCCTCCTCCTCCTCCTCCTCCTCCTCCTCCTCCTCCTCCTCCTCCTCCTCCTCCTCCTCCTCCTCCTTGCCTTCTCCTTCTCACTCTCATCCTCCTCCTCCTCCTCCTTGCCTTCTCCTTCTCCCTCTCATCCTCCTCCTCCTCCGTCGTTGCTGGTTGAGGTGAAACCCACGGGTCACAGACGCTTACCCCTTTGGTACTTCGGGCAACGGCCCCAGTGTAAGAGCATCCGGTAACCCCCTTCCCTTGGGTACTTCGGGGTAAATGGCCCAGCGTAAGTGCATCCGGCCTTTGCCCCTCGCTGCAACGACGAAGACCAAGTGTAAGAGTCAAAACACCTCCCTTGCGTCTGTGGCTTGTGGGTGTAGCCTTGCCAGTAACGGCCCTCCCTCCCTCCTCCTCCGCCTCCTCCTCCTCCTCCTCCTCCTGCTCCTCCTCCTCCTCCTCCTCCTCCTCCTCCTCCTCCTCCTCCTCCTCCTCCTCCTCCTCCTCCTCCTCCTCCCCCTCCTCCTTCTCCTCCTGCTGTTCGTCCTTGTTCTCCGTGCATTGTGTCGTCTGTTTTCTCTCTGTCAACTTGTAACCTCTACCCAGTTACTAACCTTCACTGTGAGGTTGCACCTTGCGGTTCCTTGTGCAGGGAAGGGCGGTGAGGCGTTGCTGGGGAAACGGAGAAGCAGCAACAGGAGAAGCATCTGCAGTGGCAGCATCTGCAGGAGCAGCAGCGACTGGAGCAACAAGTAAGTAACTGGAGCCGTGACAGAACACCCCCCTTCCTTCCTTCTGCTCTCCCTCCCCTCTCCCTCCTGTGCGTTTCCATCTGCCTTCGTTGCTTCTTTGGCTTTTGTGTTCTTCCTCATGTTTCCACTCTCTGTTTTTAGCCTTGTACTCGTTTCCCTTTGCTCTGCTAATTGACTACATCGAGCTGTAACAAATACTCTGTTTGAGTCGACTCAAAAGTCTTCTCGTCCACGCTGATTACTCACTCTGTTCATCGCACCTCTATGCTGTGCAGGGAACGTTACGGCGTGGGTGGGAAGTTGGAGAAGCAGCGACAAGGAGCAGCATCGGCAGAGACAGCAGGAGGAGAGCGGCAGCGGCTGCAGAGCAGCTGTGGCAGCAGCAGACGTGGAATCAACAGCAACACCAGAAGACAGGACCTGGTGAAGTCCTCTCACCTCCTGGCGCTACTTGATGCTGCGCCAGGCGAGTCAACGGCATGAGCTGTAGCTGGTCTTCTCGCCAGCGCTGGAGTCAGATGGAGCAGGGAGGAGAGGAGACAGCTGGACTGGCATCAGATGGAGCAGGGAGGAGAGGAGACAGCTGGACTGGCATCAGGTGGAGCAGGGAGGAGAGGAGACAGCTGGACTGGCATCAGGTGGAGCAGGGAGGAGAGGAGACAGCTGGACTGGCATCAGGTGGAGCAGGGAGGAGAGGAGACAGCTGGACTGGCATCAGGTGGAGCAGGGAGGAGAGGAGACAGCTGGACTGGCATCAGGTGGAGCAGGGAGGAGAGGAGACAGCTGGACTGGCATCAGGTGGAGCAGGGAGGAGAGGAGACAGCTGGACTGGCATCAGGTGGAGCAGGGAGGAGAGGAGACAGCTGGACTGGCATCAGGTGGAGCAGGGAGGAGAGGAGACAGCTGGACTGGCATCAGGTGGAGCAGGGAGGAGAGGAGACAGCTGGACTGGCATCAGGTGGAGCAGGGAGGAGAGGAGACAGCTGGACTGGCATCAGGTGGAGCAGGGAGGAGAGGAGACAGCTGGACTGGCATCAGGTGGAGCAGGGAGGAGAGGAGACAGCTGGACTGGCATCAGGTGGAGCAGGGAGGAGAGGAGACAGCTGGACTGGCATCAGGTGGAGCAGGGAGGAGAGGAGACAGCTGGACTGGCATCAGGTGGAGCAGGGAGGAGAGGAGACAGCTGGACTGGCATCAGGTGGAGCAGGGAGGAGAGGAGACAGCTGGACTGGCATCAGGTGGAGCAGGGAGGAGAGGAGACAGCTGGACTGGCATCAGGTGGAGCAGGGAGGAGAGGAGACAGCTGGACTGGCATCAGGTGGAGCAGGGAGGAGAGGAGACTGCTGGACTGGCATCAGGTGGAGCAGGGAGGAGAGGAGACAGCTGGACTGGCATCAGGTGGAGCAGGGAGGAGAGGAGACTGCTGGACTGGCATCAGATGGAGCAGGGAGGAGAGGAGACAGCTGGACTGGCATCAGGTGGAGCAGGGAGGAGAGGAGACAGCTGGACTGGCATCAGGTGGAGCAGGGAGGAGAGGAGACAGCTGGACTGGCATCAGGTGGAGCAGGGAGGAGAGGAGACAGCTGGACTGTCATCAGGTGGAGCAGGGAAGGGAGGAGAGTCAGCGGCATGATGGAGCAGGGAAGGGAGGAGACAGCTGGACTGGCATCAGGTGGAGCACGGAAGGGAGGAGACAGCTGGACTGGCATCAGG